CTGCCATACTGCGTGTGTGTGTGTGTGTGTGTGTGAGAGAGAGAGATAGAGAGAGAGAACCTAAATGCAGACCAGCACAATGCCTCCGACCCAGTGTTTGTCTGCAAACCACATCTCTAAGTCACCTTTAATAATTTAGTCTTTCTAATAGCACCTAGCTAATAACCTGTCAACTACACAAAATGACACGAATAACACAATAGTACATCAAAATATTTAAATAATCATTACACAAACAATAACATTAAACTATAGCCCCACTCTGACAGGCTCTCAATGATCTCAAATGAAACTCAATGGAATTAAACACTGCATGTCCCATTGGCCTATATCAATTCTCACGGGCGATTTCAGCATTCAATTCAACAAATAGTTAAACACAAAACGCATTTGTTTTCTATAATAACTTACCATATAAAGTGATGAGCAGCGTTTCGTGCGTCTATGTAAACGAGCATCCGTTGGAAATACTCTCAGCTTCCCGTTGTGTATTTCTGGAGGCTAAACAAAATATTCGCTTCCCAATATCTTCACACGTCTGCTCGCTGTTGTTTTTTTATCAATAAATGATGCCCACTGCCCGACCAGGACGAGGCATGTAGTGGTGCGCGCGTCGCTCCGCAGTGCTCGCGCTCACTTCTGCTCTAGCGCTCGAGCGCTCTCTCCCTCCTCTGACGTCAATGCATTCCAGCTTACCCGGACTTGAGTGAGTGAGGGCGAGAGAGTTGACTAGGCAGGGCCATATGAAATGTTTCTTAAGTCTCAAGAACACTATTATGCAACTGGCTATAATTAGGTGAAGGGACTGAAAGGAACAACATCGGTCGGACGGACATTTCACTCATTTATGTGACTTAATGTCCCAGTATATGCAAATAAGCTGACTCACTTGTGCAATCTGAATATTCTGCAAGGTCTGTAATGAACATGTAGGATACAGGCATATGACGAGAGCAATTTACAATTTAGGCTTGCAAAAGAAAAAAAAGCTGCTGCAAGTTTGAAATTAAAAAGTCAAATGTTTCCATACCAACCTTTACTGTATGATGAGCTATACAAATCTGAATGTTACTAGCTGATAGTAACACATGCTACAATCAATGGAAGGCTGGACAGTGACTTGGAACTGGCCTCTCCACATCTGGGGTTAATAATAACACTAGTGCAATGCCCGTGCAAAATCTATTTTTAGTAATTGTTGGTTTAGTATAGCTGAATACCCTATGCAACTATTACACAGTAGCCTAAACTCTGAGAAAACGATAACGTTAAGCGCACCAGAATAAAATATAATATTCAGAATTAAACAGTGTAGATGACTTACAGATTCAGTTAGCATCCACAAACGAATAAGCGCAACGATTCAGGGAGCAGCAATGAACTCGCTTGAGCAAACAGTTGGTGAATAGGCTGCTATCTAGTGTACTCCCTATCTAGTGCTCCATCTAGTGTACACTATTATCTCCAAATCTAGTGTAAACTATCTAGTGCACTTATTATCTCTAAATTTAGTGTATTTACTAGGGCTGTCAAATGATTAATCGCGATTAATCGCATCCAAAATAAAAGTTTGTGTTTACATAATATATGAGGGTGCACTGTATCAAATTATTTTCAGAAATATTGTCATGTATATACTGTATATAAATTTATATTATATATAAATATAAATGTTTTATATATAAATAATGTTTTTTCTTAAATATACATGAGTGTATATATATATATATATATACACAAAAATGAATTATACACAGTGCACCCACATATTTTATGTAAACACAAACTTTTATACTTTTATTTTGGATGTGATTAATCGCGATTAATCATTTGTGTAAATGGAGTGTCATTAAATCATTTGTGTCATTAAAATAAATAAAAAATCATAATTAAAAATAATACACTAATATATATATATATATATATATATATTGTAAATGTTTATGTAGCCTATATTACTCATAATAAAAATAAGTGGAAAAAAAAATTATAAATAAGGCAAATTAATAGCCTTCTTTTCGCTTATATTTACTTTATATTTACTTTAACGTTTTTTGTGCTATATTTAGGAAGGTAGCTTAAAGGTTTTATTGTAGCTAGCAGTTTTATGCCTCATACTTTAAAATTAGTAACATTTTTACAGTGAAGATTTATGGAGCTTAATGGAAAACTCATCAGGTCAATATGTTTGCCTTGTGCACCTCCCAAAAGTACATTGTGATACAACAGAAGCATAAAGCTTCAATAACAGCTGTTGAACGGGTTTTCATGAGGTCAGAGGAGCATATTAAAAGATTCTGAAGGGGAAATTAAAGGTTAATTTGGAAATTACTACTATTATTTTAACATCATTGGGATGTCTGGGATGCCAGACGTCTCAACCCAGACGTGAGTGTTAATCGTGGTGAATGTACAAGTCGGAACAGAGGACATTCTTAAGATTCCAGAACACTGGAGGAACCGATCAAGATTCCGTGCACTCACTTCCTCTCTACGCTGGAACTGTGTGGTTGACTGACTGAGTCTGACATCCTCAAAACACTGGAGTCAAGGAGACCGTGATGTCATCAAAACACCAAATTTGAAATGCCTTTGTCACAAAAGATTCATTCAACCAATCCGACAGTCACACACTTTTACACAATGACTACTAGCACAAGCACCTCCATTTACACAGCTTACCTTCATTTTAGATAATACAAAAATACTTGCATTGTTCATCTCTTCATATTAACTACGTCAAGAACAAGCGTTGGCCAGACCACATCCGTGGGGGTTTTATTAGAAACAGGTTGGACGATTATCAAGTTTGAAGTTCTTTGTAATGAGTGTGCGCTTTCATCCGTGTTAGTCAACACAGGCACAATGCAACTATTTAAGGGGAGAGAAAGACAGACTCTCCCCATGGGGAATAAATGACGTTCGTACATGGCGGAGAACACGTTGGTTACTATGGGAACCGATGCCGTAACTTGTCAGCTCGATCTACGCAGGTTGCAAAGCCCACCGGATCTTCATCTAGACTTGCATATGTAAATTCAAACGGATTCTGACAAAATAATAAAGGTCAGCTCAGCTGAACTGATTTAGTTCAACACAACTCACAGTACCTCAGGGGCATCTCTGCATTGAGATATAAGTTTACACTTGCACAATTTCATCATCTGGGTATAATTATGGATTTATATTACCTGTCAAAATGCAGGTTTGAAAAATGACAACATCCCACTTGGCCTGTTTTTGCTCATTTTAAATCTTCAAAATGAAATCTAATTTAAAAACTAATAGTTTTTTGAAATCTTGGGACATGTTTTTAATTTTGACAAGTGGTTATCAGAGAATTAATATAATGGAAGAGCAAACTGTTTAAACCATTTTAGAAAAAGTAGTATTGAAATATAGAAGTAAATTGTGTGGAATTCTTACGAACTATGCATCATATCTATATTAAATTCTTTCACATGTTAAAGTCATTTTTCAAAGAAAGTGGGTCTGATGTCTACTGAATTGCCAAAACAGAGGACTGTCTGTGTAATGTAATATTGCCACCTTGTGGCTTGATCTCTAATAACTATGCCTACTATTAAAGGGATAGTTCACCCAAACATGTTTTCCCACCATCATTTACTTACCCTCAAGTTGTTCCAAACCTGTATGAGTGAACTATCCCTTTAAAACTTGATCGTTTTAAATAGAAATGATCATGCCTGAAAGCATACCGAGACTAGAAAATAACTGTATTTCAAAAAAGATCGTATTGAGCTGAGCCGCATATTGAACACGGATTGACAACAGAACCGGAAGACAATTCAATGCTGAATAAAGTTGTAGTTTTTGACATTTTTGGACCAAAATGTATTTTCGATGCTTCAAAACATTGTAACCAACCCACTGATGTCACATGGATTACTTTGATGATGTCTTTATTTCCTTTCTGGACAAGGACAGTATACCGTTCATACATTTTCAATGGAGGGACAGAAAACTCTGACTAAATCTAAAATAACAGAGGTCTTACGGGCTTGGAACGACATGAGGGTGAGTCATTAATGACATCATTTTAATTTTTTGGGTGAACTAACCCTTCAATGGGTGTTTTCCCGAATATTAAGCAGGTAGTAAGAAATTTGGGTATTTTGATTCCAATTTAAATGTCAAGAAGTTGTCTTGTTTTTTTATCAGTTATGAAACATTTCCATGGTGAGGCGTTTTTTTAATTTTAATGATACAGATAAACTTATTCATGCTTTTATTTCTTCCCGCCTTTATTGTAATGCTTTGTTTTCTTCTTTGAACCGTCGCACTTTATCGCGATACAGGCCAGGGGCTTTTGCAGTGAGGGCTCCAAAATTATGAAATAGTTTGCCAGTTGATATTAGATTATCTGAATGCGTGTTTGTTTTTAAATGTCGTCAGAAAACGTACTCGTGCTTTTAATACTTTGTCAGGTCTTCTGTGTTTTTGGGGTTTCGATATTTTTTGTTTCTTGTGTATAGCTCTTGACTTCATTAATGTATTTTAATGATTGTGTTTTTATATTGTGCAAAGCACTTTGTGCATTGTTGTGCTAAATGTGCTTTAAATAACATTTTACTTGGGCTATTTACGAGTGAGAATTTTCATTAATCCCAGAGTTTATGAGTTGGGTTAGAAACATGGCGGAATACCATTTAGCAGTGACATTGTCAGGGTTTTTATTTAATATGAAATAATCTATTTGCCAGCACAAAATATGATCGAATTGTTTGTAACACTATAATATAACGATAAAGTTTACAATGGCTTCATGAACTAATTACAAAAAAAAAAAAAAAAAACATTCACTGATGCACGTCTGTCTGTCTTCAAGATTTGATGTTAAAAAAAAAAATTACTGTATTTTTGACCTGACCTCGTAAACACGATTCACCCAGACAAGCTAATTGACATTCATAAATATTCTGTCTTTCAGCAAATCGGTTCTATCTCCAGGGCGGGGCTTGAGGTTCAGGGGAGGCGTGACGCAGTTACGCTGATCCGGAAGAATATTTTCATAATAACTCTTAACCATGCTCTTAACTGACCTTATGCATAAAAGCTTGGTTATTCAGCACGAATTTTGTAAGAAGTGAAAATGAACTTGTTCAGAAAAGCCCTACGCTTAATTTATCCACGGCTGCCGTTTACTTACGGGAGGTGCAGGAGATATTCTGCTAAAGTAAGCTCTGCCAACATTCCTGTTCACTGTTACATAATTCTAATAAATAGAATAAAGGCTACAGTCTGTTTATGCAGATAATAAATCTCGGAATATAAACATATTTGATAAAAATATCATATTTATTATAAATAAAGACTTAAACCAAACGTAAACAATCAAATAAAATGTATAAAAAATATTATTAACCTACGTGTCACCATAGAGTAGTTCAGGTAAACAGTCGGCGCATTTCCTGCGTTGTGTTAATAGACTGGAGGCGTTGAGCGGGCCATCACTGCGTTTCGCTCGGTTAGCGGGGATGAAGGCGTGTCTGTGGGGTCAGCTGTCAGAGAACAGCACGGCAGGGATGAGTCCGTGCACAGGTAAGATTTCACTGCCATAACTGAGTGAGTGCCACCTGCAATTAAATGTTATGCAAACTGTGCAGCAGTTGGTCCACCCTCAAGCAAACCAACTGTAGCGTCCGAGTTAATGATTTTGGTAGTTCAAGCAACATATTCATTATACAGCCGTGTGAGTCCGTCCAGCATGCAAACGATTCCCCCCTCTTCTTCTTCGTTTGATGTTTTATGGCGGTTGCCAAACCAACTTTCGGTGCATTACCGCCACCAACTGGACTGGAGTGTGTAGCACTTAAAAATGACAATAATAATAATAATAATAATAATAATAAAAAACAAAACAAAAACAAAAAACCAAACAAACTTTAGACAAAATTGTACTTCCAAAACAAAAAAACAAAACAAAAAAACAAAACAAACTTTAGACAAAATTGTACTTCCAAAACAAAAAAACAAAACAAAAAAAAACAAAAAACAAAACAAACTTTAGACAAAATTGTACTTCCCCTCTTCTCCTGCCCCCCCAGACATAAATAATCATCTACAGCGTGGATCCACAGGCATAATAAATCAATCCTCAATTTTTGAAAGACGATATGCTCCTCAAGCCTGCATTTATTTGATGAAAAATACAGAAAAAAGTAATGCTGAAATTACAATTTAAAAATGTTTTCTATTTTAATATACTTTTTTAAATAAAATGTATTTCTGTGATGCAAAGCTAAATTTTCATCAGCCATTACTCCAGTCTTCAGTGTCACATAATCCTTTAGAAATAATTATAATTTGATGATTTATTAGCAATGTTGGAAACAGTTGTGGTATCTAATATATTTTATTTAACCTTTGATTCACTTTTGAGGAATCTTTGATGAATAAAAAGTAAAAAATAACAATAACAGAATTTATTTTAAAAATAGAAATATTTTGTAAGAATTTACACTACTGTTTGTTGTAAGTGTAAGTTTGGTGTCGATCTTTTTTTTCTTTCTTTTTTTAAAAAAAGAAGAAATTAATACTTTTTATTCAGCAAAGGTCTGTTGCTAAAAATTGATAGAACTATTTTATAACAATATAAATCTTTACTATTTTGAATAAATGCTGTTCTTTTTGACATTTTATTCATCAATGAATCCTGAAAAAGGTATTAAAATAAAAATATTAAGCAGCACAACTGTTTACAACCTTGATAATAACCGAGTATCAAATCATGGATGTGTCTCAATATGGAAGATTGGATTCAAAATTAAACAAACATCAAAATTTAATATACAAATTATATAACATTTAAAATTGATTTGCATATTACTTGGTATTTACATATTCCTGTTTTTTGTTTGTTTTTTTCTTGCCATGTCAGATGTCTACCACCAGATGTGGTGGTGTTTCCTCGGTCTGTAGATGAGGTCAGTGCTCTTGCCAAAATTTGCCACCACCACCAACTACCCATCATCCCGTTCGGTACAGGAACAGGCCTGGAGGGAGGTGTTGGTGCTCTGCAGGTTGGTCCAGTAGAGAAGAGTTTGACTCTAACCTTCAAAAAAAGGATTTTATTTTGTCCTTATTTTTAGCTTTTGATCAATTTTATTCAGTGTACATCCATTAGTGTTAACAAAAAACATTTATAACTGTGCATGTGTGTGTTTTGTAGGGTGGAGTGTGTTTCAGTCTGAGAAAGATGGACCAGGTCCTTGATCTTCACCAAGAGGATTTTGACGTGACGGTGGAGCCAGGTGTGACGCGCAAAGGCCTCAACTCATTCCTGCGAGACACTGGCCTCTGGTTTCCTGTTGGTCAGTCAAATTCTTTTGTATTACAAGTACAAAGTAGATCAAAAGGCCCGTTTTGTTGTTCTGTTTATTATAAGCGAGCACTACAGTTTTGTTGTCTGCCGCATTTGAAGCTCAAGCTTTTTAAAGCAGGATGGATTCTGATTGGTTGCGAACAAGCAAAATTTGACTTGGTTTTAGTTTTGTGTTTTATGTTTGGAAATGATTAATCAGATCCAGGTGCCGACGCATCTCTCTGCGGCATGGCTGCAACTAGCGCATCAGGCACAAACGCCGTCCGTTATGGCACAATGCGCGAGAACGTCCTGAACCTGGAGGTGGTTCTAGCAGATGGAGCAGTCCTCCACACAGCAGGCAGGGGGCGTCGTCCAAGGTATGACTGCAAACTCGGATGTATATTTTTTCAGTTGAACTAAACCTATTGTTGTCTACACTTGATGGACTTTCACAATGCAATGCCCTTTCAGAAAGACAGCTGCTGGTTACAACTTGACAAACCTTTTTGTGGGCTCGGAGGGAACTTTGGGTATCATTACCAAAGCCACACTTCGATTGTATGGTATTCCTGAGAGTATGGTGTCAGCTGTCTGCTCCTTTCCATCCGTCCAATCAGCGGTGGACAGCACCGTTCAGATTCTGCAAGCTGGGGTGCCCATTGCCCGCATAGGTGAGGGAAGGTTGAAGCACATGGTCTCAATGTGCTTGGTGTGTTGCCACAATTGGCATTAACGTAACAAAAGAACAGTCAGTCTCTTGTGTTGTATTCTTGTAAAATCACAGACTGTGGAACTCGAAACTACATGCATGCCTAGCTGTGTGATTTAGTCCAGAACTCTATTCATTTCATTTTAATCAATTCATTAAAGGCTCTTGCAATAACATAAACATTAATTCAAAAGGAAACACCGTCCTTATACAGTCAACACCGAGCGCAGTCAAGGGTTTAATGGATTGCCTGGTTCTCAGAAAGTGTTTCTTCTTTTGCAGTCCATTCAGGGAAAATATTCCACCAGTAGCTCCATCCAATTTATGAGTAATCAGGCATGACCGGTCTCTTAGATTTTTAAATCGAGGCTGCAGTGAGGCATCAAATTTTTTAACCCTGGACTTTCTACCCACAAAGGCCTCACACAACTTATTCGGTGCCGATATGTTTCGTTCATAGAGTTCTTGGATGACGTGATGATAAACGCCTGCAACCGCTTCAACAACCTGTCCTACGCCGTAACGCCCACTCTCTTCCTGGAGTTCCATGGGAGCTCCAAGAGCATGGAAGAGCAAGTGTCCATCACAGGTATTTGTGGATAAAACCAAAAAATAAATGTGTACAAAAAGCTATTTTACAAATGCAAAACAATGCCATTTAGAGGGTTTTTAGTGTGCACTAGGTAAGCTTTGGTTATAGCACACTAGGTAGTGATAGTAGCCTGGCCTATGGCTCGGGAATATGCCTACTTCCATACTACTGTATGTAGAAGGCGAAAAACAGTATGCGAACTGAGTAGTATGTCCGAATTCATAGTTTTCATAAAACAGTAAGCGAAAAGTACCCGTATGATGTACTACTTCTGGTGAGATACTGAAGTGCGCATGCGATGGACACTTTACAATCCCATGAGGCCAAATGAAACGACGAAACTGATGCCATAGGTCACATGATTGACAACATGGCGAAGTTGGTTCCAAATTCCATTCATACCATATAGATCATACTTTTTTTAATAGTCACAAACTAAGTTTCAAACCAAATGTAGTACCTTGCGATTTCGGATGCAATTCGGACATACCACTCGGCTCATATGACCTACTACTTTAAATGAAATGAGATTCTAAAGTGTGCATTCAATGGATACTATACCACAATGCCATGGGAGAAGAGTTGCTAATGGCAGTGACACTGTAGGTCACATGACAATAACAACACAATGAATGTTGAATGTTTGAATTTCATTCATACTATATCGAACATACTTTTTTATAACCAGATAATATATGTGAAAGAATGTGTCATATGTGAAAGCATTATGTTGTGTGTTTAGAGGAGATCACGCGTGATAACGGAGGTTCGGACTTTGCCTGGGCGGAAGATGAGGAGACCCGGAGCCGGCTGTGGAAAGCCCGTCATGATGCATGGTACGCCGCTCTGGCCCTGAGGCCTGGATGTAAGGTGGGAACATTTTACCTCATGAGACTTTTTTATCATCTTGAAACTTGAATGCTTATTATACTTCTAAAAATGTTGAGATATAAATTCCTGCATAATATTGCTTATTTTAGGATTGGAAGCATGTGTACTAATATTACATTATAATATTATATACTGTACATTATATTATTAACCATAGTAGACATAACATTTTAGTATATTATATTAAAACTTAAAACTATAGTAATGAGTTCCAAAAGCTAAATACATTTAGAATAAATGTACATCAGATCAATTTTGCTTTGTCCTTTTGTGTGTCCTTCCTCGGGTGTGATTGTGCATAATGCATTGCAAAAATAATGACTGTTTTCAAAAAGGTTTCCCATACACTCTGCCATTGGTCAACCTAACAGATAGCCCTGCCCCAAACTCACACCATTGGTTGAGCCTCTGTTGCTGTGCTGGAGTTGGAATGCTCAAACAAGCAGTAATGTTTTGAAAGCGCCAGAGACATTTTTTTTAAGGATTATAATTATAATTGTCAATGAATTTTAAGTTGGAACTGGACAGCTTTTTTACACTGAAAAATAACACATTTTCTTACAGACATTCTCTACAGATTCATGTGTGCCTAGACAAAAGAAAATCTAATTAGCAAAGATGTACTAAGATAACATAATAATAATAATGATATAATTGTAATATAAATAATATATTTTTATATTTCTTATTCCTGTCAGTCTGTTCATACAGTACTATACATATCTATTTGCTTAAAATCATGACTTTTTCCAATAGGTTTCCCAAACATTCTGCTATAGGTCAGCCAAACCCCAAACTTAGCATGTTGCTATGCTAGGCTGGTCAGAATGCTCTAGCAAACAGAGCAATGTTATGAAACCACCACACAGCAGCCACAAACAGTTTTACAGTTTTAAAATATTTGAATACATAACTCAGAACTCAACATTTTACAAACATGTACTAATTTTCTTGCAGGCATATTCTACAGACGTCTGCGTGCCTATCTCACGACTACCTCAGATTATAGTGGAGACGAAGGAAGATCTGATCAGCAACAATATTACTGGTAGCTTGCCGAGTTTGATTTTCTCATTTAGTGTTCAGAATTGTTTTTTAAACTGCTGATATAATATGGTTATGTTTTTTTTTTCCTAGGTCCTATTGCAGGTCATGTGGGTGATGGAAATTTCCATTGTTTAATTGTACTGGATCCTAATGACCCAGACGAGGTGCAAAGGGTTCACTCCTTCACTGAGAGATTGGCCAGGTACTTCTATTTAGTTCCTTTCAGCGGAGTTGATCTTCTGAGGCGGCTGAGAAGAACTGGCAGCACCTTTTGTGCCTATTGTCAGTTTTGTTTTGTGTACCAATCAATATCAGGATTATTTCTCAGAATGTCTTCTGTCATTTGGAGAGTGTAAATTGACAATGACAGACATAGATGTTCTAGTGTCTGGCTTTGGAAATAATAGGGCGACCCGCCTTCAGTCATTATGGGTAAAGTGCAGTCTCTGTCAGGTACAATGGATGTGCGATCGGCACTGACCAGCAGCCAAAGAGAAGACAAACACTGCAATCTCATTTAGTTCAATGAAATCTGGCTGACCTGATGCGTAAGAGTTTGTCCTGATAGGAGCAAATTGAGTTGGACTTGCCCTTTGTGTGAATGACAGACATGATGTTACTGTAAAAGCACAAGTTTGCAAAAACAACTCTGAGAGGAGAAGAAACATTACCAGGCTGAACTTGTGTGTAAACTTGAAGTTGAAATGGATTAGAGAGCTTTACTACAGTCTACCTGGAAGTTCAGAGGAACTTGACCAGGCCTAATTATCTGTTAACTTCTTCAATACCTTCAATACCATTCTGACTCTTAAAAGAAAAGTGTGGGTTTCAATTAAAGACTGGAATACACAACACAACTTTGAGTAGATCTTAAAATAGTAGGCATCACACACTTGCCGACTTTGTAAAAAGTTACAGGGAAAAACTGGGCATTGTACGCTAAACAACTTTCAAATCATTGCGAACAATCTCATACAGAAACATGCACTTGACAAATTAAAAAAAAAATGTGTTAAAATCAAATTAAAATCGTCTCGAAATATCAAAACGGTTTGGTTTCCTCCGACGTGATGGAATCGAAATCTGAAGCTAAAAAAATATCAGAGACCATGCCCTTTATAGATTGTGTAGCCTATTCCTGCATTAAGTTAAGCATTTTTGTTCCATAATTTTTCTTACCTCACAAAATGATTTAGACTTCTATTCCAACAAGAATTATGGGTAGGTATACAATACAATGGAGTACCTTGTCATGTCGAACAGTGTGTACAACCTGCATGAATAAGATGAGTAGGTGTTGGATTTCTGCTGCGCATGGGAGCCCTCGAGACCAGTCGACATCATTCAGTCGGAGATTGTGGAGGTGGAAACACCTGCGAATCGAAACTGGACTGGACAGGCAGTTCAGCTGCACAACTGATCAACACTGCCAGATGTGCTTCTGGTATCACCTTAAAACTATGTTACTAAATTAATCCAGCTTCATTTAAAAACAGCGTTTTAATTTCAAAACGCTCTCCATCCACATTGCGCTCAATTGCCATTCCATGTATGGTCTAAAATTGCGAGGAATCTTTGCAGGAATGTTTTATGAAGACATTTATCATTAGCAACACTGTTAGTGAATTACACATAGCAGTATATATCAATAGGTACAATATGTGTCACATGACTAAATGAAACTGGTCTTAATCGACCTTCTCCAAGCGGGATTCTAACTGATGTGGGAGCGGCTGATGCTCCTCTTGAGGCCAGGGAAGTGAGGTTTACACACAGCTCTTTTTGGCCTAGGTTACACTCACCCCCCTAAACCTCTCTCCCATCCGGGTCACGGCACCAAATGTAACCGTTCCTACCAAGGGTGCCGCATAAGCCCTCAAAAGTGAAGCCAAAAATGTTTCAATCGGCCCCCAGTGACCGGTCCAAGTATAGGTCATAAACCCCACCTCCCCATGTTATTCAACGGGACCTGAGACCAACTAAACAATTAAATTACACTTCACATATCCTTTTTCCAAAGATAGTTTCTGTCATTTACTGTAGTTTCTATCACGTTGATGTAATTTCAAGTGTTTGTTTTAAAAATAAGTTTGTTTTTAGTTAGTTAGTTGATGCTATAAAAATTGTGCTCTGTCATCATGATTGACAGGTTCTCTGTGCGAGGTAGTCACTGAAGGACCGGCGTACTTTCTTCAATAATGTTGACTATGTGGTTAGTAGTTGTATTTACCTTATTTTAATGAGGTACTGCAATCAGCAGACATCATTGGAGAATAACGGAGCAGACAGATGCCACTTAAGAAAAGTGCGGGGCGTGTGCTTGCGTTTGATTCAGCGAGAATGAGGGCGGGGCCTTGATTTCGCGGCTTTACTTCCTGCTCACGACAACACAAGTGCGCAGACTCAAGTTCCAAGATGTCAGCGCCATATCGGGACACTGGCAGCTTCAGTTCTCTCTGATGAAAAAGAGCGAAGGGGCGTCATCCATCTTTTTTACAGTCTATGGTTCCTACTCGACCTGCTCCGAGCGGGATTCTAACCGACGTTGGAGTTGCAGACTGTAAAGACCGCAGCCGCTAAGGTTCCTCTTGAGGCCAGGGGAGTGAGGTTTACGCGCACAGCTCTTATTGGCCTACGTTCGTTACATAAACATGCATCATGGTGTTCAAATAACTCTTTTTACTTTTTATTTATCCAGTTGGAAGATCTCCATGTTCTCCATTTCTCAACTGTATCTGGATTATTGCAGATATAGCCTAAATTAGTCAAATGTTTTGCCAGTAACAATTACAGTGAATTCATTCATTGTCTTTATCAATGCAGGAGGGCACTGGCGATGGATGGGACTTGTACCGGTGAACATGGGGTCGGCCAAGGAAAGCGGGCTCTGCTTAGGGAAGAGGTCGGTCCTTTGGCCATAGAGGTAATGCAGGGCCTCAAGGCCAGCCTGGACCCCAAAAACCTTATGAATCCAGGAAAGGTGTTGTAATTCCCCCAAACCAACACAGAAATCAAAAATATATACTCTGCACTACACTTTCTGACCACTAGTGGTCAGGAGAATGATGTTTGTTTTAGATTTTAAGAAAAATAATGATTTACAAAATCTGCATTTTCTTTGTGAAAGGTGGATATATCTCAAGCTCTCTGCGTGAACATTTAGAAGTTCAAAACTTATTATGTAGCATCGTTCTGAAAACACATTATGAATGTACATGGCTGAATTTTCTAAGACCCTGGAAAAAATATAATTCAATTCTTTTATTTTGCTTTTCCGTGGCAATCTGATACCATTTTGAAATGTGAAATCATAGGGCCGTGACAAACTTGTGTTTAGTCTGGCCATTTCCCCTTCTACATATCTGTGAATATAATTATTATTGAAATGGATACATTTGCTTATGAAAGAGATTCTGTGAAGCAGAACTCTACATCTGATGAGCTAAATGTTATGAAGAAAATAAAAAGTGCTCACATAATATGGTTTTGTCTCTTTTCGTTCGTGTTTGGATTTATTCGACACTTTGCGTGTGTGCAATGGACCGATCGTTAAAAGAAAGCAACATCTGGTCTTATTTCATCTTGTTTTAATTATATGTATGATCATCATCATTATTACTCGTCCCACAGATTGCACATCAAAATCATCAGACATTTATTTGCACTTCCTAAAAACAGGCATCCTTTCATATCCCTGGAAAAAAAGAAAAGAAAAACATACAAAAATAACATACTTGAACGCAAAAATAAGAAACGGATGGGTTTCGAGAGTGCCGAGTCACTTTCTGCAGCCCATGCTGCACAAGATAGTACTACGCTACCTGACTCTGTTTATGTGTTTTACACGGTGAGGCGAAATTGTTATCCTTTGTTTTAGATGGATGGTGTTTGTATGCCCTCATTTACAGGCACAAAGCAGGAAAACAAACCTCAGAAATGCTCTACTTCTATCCAACACAAAAAAGTAATAGGTCGTCAAATATTTTCTACCTTTTTCATTTTACGGATTTCGTTTTTTTTTCCGTTTTATTTTTTTATTATTTTTTACAATTTCTGCAACATTATTTTCTAACAGTGCTTGCTGTTTACACAGTAGACGGAGGCATCCTGAAGGTTAAATATATTTCTTGTGAGGTTTCTCACAGATTTTTCAAAAAATAAAAAGTAAATGCAGATCATAGAAATGATCTTGTAATAGATTCACACCAGTTTATCTGGGTTTTACATACAGTAGTGAAGCAACATTAGCTTACCAGACGCAAGCTGGTCGGTCACATACAGAAAACATGGGAAGATGGACAGAAGCTGAAATCACACACACGCGCACACACACACACACACACACACACACACTGAATACGTACTCAAGGCTTATACAGGGAAATTGTCCGAATATTATGGTCAGCGATTCATATTAACTGCCCAAAAATTGCAGATGAAACTAGGAAAATAGCTTTGAGCTTCTTATTGTTTCAGAATCCATGGGGGAAAGACATCTACTGTGAATTGTAAACATTTGAAGACAGACTGAGAGTGTATTTCTCTCTGTTTATCACCGTAAATCCCCATCCCAACACACATACTGATGTCTTGGACTTCCTCTGGCACTAACAGGAAACACAATTAACACATTTCCCCGCCTGTGGACACATGATCACACACATGCACACACAGAATAAGTAAATCTACATCCAACGGCTGTCCAACACATCACTAACTAGTGAACCAGCACACGAAACTCCACCCACGAACCAGTTATGAAACCCCACCCCCTGTCACACCCCTTATAGCCCCTCAAATCAGCATGGTGTGACTGACAGGACAGGTATGGCCTCTGGATTGCTTTGCAAAGGGTGTTCTATTTCCTACTTGTTTGCCGCCTTTATCGCTCCGCCCTTTTAGTTGCCCCGCCCCTCTTTCCAATTTCCTTCCACCTGATTACATACACAAGGAGAGAGGACCGGGTCAAAATACAGACTGAACACACATCGACAAGCACACGGAGCATGTAGAGGGGGCAAGAAAACGAGACGTTATCCAAAGCCAGAGATCCGGTGTTGGTGGTTGGCGTGGGGGGTCCGGTTAGCAGTTTAGCAATCTCTAGCACAGCGCGTAGGAGATTCTGGGATGCAAGTGGTAATGACGGTGTCGGTTTTATTTGGTTCAGTTTTGCGATGACACATTGCCGTTTCCGTAGGTTTGACCGAATTGGATTGATTTATTTGGTTATTTTTGTGTCATGATATCCAGGTTTAGGTCCATAAAGTGCCCTACAGTGAGATGAAAAAAGAGACAAAGAAGGAATATAAGAATTATACTGACCCCGAGGGTGTTTTCACACTTGGTCTTGGATCAGGTCTGAATGTGGTTTACTTTAAGACAGTGGTGTGGGTAACATATAATGTGTGTGTATAATACATCTATAGTACGGCGTAGTTTATATATATATATATATATATATACAGTATATATATATATATATATATATATATATATAAATTACGGTACCGCCTGCTCTCTAATCGTTCTCGGGGTACTTTGATGAAATACTGCACAGCGTTACTTCTAGTTGAACACACCAAACAGCTTAGCACATACACTCTTATGTTATGCGCCGTCATCATTTTTCTGCATTCTCATTGGTTTGCTGGCAAATAGGGGATTGGATTTTGTCCGCAGGTTGCTGTATGGTGTTGCTGTTCTGTTACTGCTAGAACATGATCACCGGAAATCACATTGTACTTGATACAAAACTAGTTAATAAATAAAAAAAGAAAAAGAAAAAAAAAAGTCATAACTGAATAGTATTACATTGTCTCTACTGGTAAATATATTTTTTTATATAATATTTATGTACTGTAAGTAGATCTTCTGTAACTATCTGAGATTATCAAAACTTTGACAAGTACGATCACAGCGAACATTCAAATGTATAACTATGAAACAGTTTCTCTTTTCAACCACACATTATCATTATTTCTGTTACAAACAAATGAATGATTACAGAAATACTGGGATAATTTTCAAAATAACAATGCTTGAAATAAAAATTGCTTCAATTACATTGAAGTAGGTGGCAACAAATGAATGTGACATTTTTTTTTTTTATCTGTCATTGAATCATTCATTCAATAGATTGTTCAAAATCACTGCCGGTGTTTAAAAAAATTAGAGGTTAAAAAAGTCACAGTTTGCCATTAATACTGTGAAAACTTGCATTTGCATATTAATATGATGTGTGGTGTTATATTTATTATTATTATTAACAATATATTATTAAAGTGATCTGAGTTCCAGATCTTTGTGAATGCAATTTTTCATAGAGGACTCGAGTATGAAAACTTGCAGCAAATGATTAATATTATCTTAGAAAAGTGAATGCAGTTTTTTTTTTTAATGGAGGACTCAAGTGTGAAAACTTTCATTTGCATTGGGTAGCAATTTTAGTTCCTTCATAATAGTGTAAGGTCATGAGACCATTAGGGGGTTTAGGTGTTAATTTCACATTTACTATGCGTCTAAAAATGTTCTCGACAAGTGTGAAAGTGTATTTACGATAACAGCTTGTCAACAAAAAAATTGTGTCGCTACTCTGGAGGATGCTTTTCGAAAGTCTATTCAAAAGCGGTGCATTGAATTGATAAGATAGTACTGCTAATTACAGTTTGATAAAGCCAAAATTTTCAATATAAAATGATTACTTGTAGGTGAATATTTGTGTGATGGGGTTCACCTTTCTCAGTGTTAGCAGAAGTAGATGATGGAGGTCAGTCTGAAGGATGTTCAGGGCAGGAGCGGTTGATCTCAAACCAGGAGTCTATACAGCTAATGAAATAGATGATAAAAATGTCAGTTTAGGCTCAACTGTAAAGCAATCTATATTAGAAAAACAACATTTCCAGTAGCATATTGCTTTTAAATGATTCTACATAAGGTCTCCTAAGCATACATATTGGATGCATACAGCGATGCGGGATTCTGGACTGGATATAGAAACCAAGCAAGAGTCAAAAATGTCTTGCCAGACGCAGCTGGCTCGGCCAAAAACATTAACTTAGAAGTGATAGGATTTATTGGTTGTCGCTTTACTGCGTCTCGCCTGGTTAGGACTGAGCTTATAACTTGCTTGTGGCAAATTTGTTTGATTGCAAAAGAACACCAGCCAGCCAATCGGTTCACTTTTCAAGGTGCCTGCGGTTTCAGACATATGTGAGTGTGCTATTCAAAAGCCAGTACCTCCTGCTGAGACACCATATACAGACATCAAATGTCAATCATACAGTTACATAATCACATAATTATATATAGGACATGACAAGGTTCGTGTTTCATGTACAGCAAAAAAAAAAAAAAAAAGTAGAATGTTAATTCTCAGGTAATTTGTCATTCATTCGACTGACTAAAAGCTAACATTTCCTGTCATGTTTAAAGAGGACCTATTTTGCCCTTTTACAAAGTTTTATAGAATAGGTTTTCATGCTTGAATGTTATTTTTTCCCGCAGCTCCTTTCTTCCTAGTCTATCAGTAACACTCTCGGTGTGTTCGACTTTACTTCAGCTGGATATAACCGATCGCAGGAGGAGCTGAAAACGGACACTTTCTGCTTCCTGTAGTGACGCTTGTGTGGTGTTTGCCTACTTTATCACAGACGAAGTGAATTAAATGCAATATTTGTCAAATGCAGTTTTCATTCAATACTTTATGTACTGCTTAATACAGCATCTGTTTGTACAACAATAAAGTTCAACATAAGTCTATTCAATTGATCCTTCGCTAAGCCACGTCCGAAAACCGCCACTGGCCAATTGTGTCTTAGCAACTGTAACTAGGGAGGGCGGGGCTTAGCGGAGGGTCAATTACAATATCATTGAAGTGAGGTGTGTTTTTATCAGTTTTATTTTAATAAACATGACATTATAACATCACCACTACATGAAAGAGCTTTTACCGTTATAAAAACCCTTATTTGTGAGGATCGACGTTGATCCGGCCAATTGGCGCTCTGGAGAAGCTGCGCAGAATGAACAAACCGTGTGCTCTCGAATCGCTCTTGCTGTATTTTGATGCCATACGCCACAGTGACGTGTAGGGTTGGGTATCGAGAATCGAGTATCGATTGGAATCGGGACTAACTTTTAGTTTTTCCCGGAATCGTTCAAAAGTTAAAATTTCGATTCCTAGTTTCAATATTCACAGTCCGCCGAGCGGAAGAAGAAACCGCTGAACAACACCAACGAAGCAGCGTCTACCGGAAGTGTTGGCATAACCGCGCGAGTCGAAGATGAGTAGCTTACGTCGGCGGTCCAAAGTGTGGCTTCACTTTTCTAAAAATAACGAAATCTCGGCAAAATGCAAAATTTGTGACAAAATTTGTGACAGAAGGAGTATTTCCTTCAGAAAGGATTATTTCCTTCCGAAAGACTGTTGGTTAGCAAGGTTAGCTAAACTTTTTTGACCCTGCCTCTTAGAAGAATCGGA